TGCTGCTGTTGCTGCTGCTGCTGTTGCTGCTGTTGCTGCTGTTGCTGCTGCTGCTGCTGCTGCTGCTGCTACAGTTAGTATTTGAGTTGTGTTATGTCTGAGAGTTTGTTTTGTTGCTGCAGTGCTCTCTATAGCAGCAGCAGCAGCAGCAGCAGCAGCAGCAGCAGGAGGAGTATGTGTTATGTGTTGCTGCTGCTGCTGCTGCAGGCATTGCGTTTGTTTGTGGTATCTCCCGAGCGCACCGCCACCGCCACCACCCCAGCAGCAGCAGCAGCAGCACCAGCAGCAGCAGCAGCAGCAGCACCAGCAGCAGCAGCAGCAGCAGCAGCAGCAGCAGGAAGTTTGGGTGTATTGAGTGAGGAGGAGAAGCAGGAGCTGCATGCAGAGATCTTTGCTGTTCGTTTGGCGGTGCAGCACGGGCTTGTATTTCTTCTTTATAAACAACAAAAAAAACAAAGAGGAAGATGGACCAATAAAGATGAAAAAATATATAAAACCTTTCATGCTTCCTATTGCGCTGCCATGGGTCTGCTGCTGCTCCTGCTGCTGCTCCTGCTGCTGCTGCTGCTGCTGCTGATGCTGATGCTGCTGATGCTGCTGATGCTGATGCTGCTGATGCTGATGCTGATGCTGCTGATGCTGATGCTGCTGATGCTGTTGCTGATGCTGCTGATGCTGCTGCTGTTGCTGATGCTGCTGTTGCTGATGCTGCTGCTGCTGGTGATGCTGCTGGTGATGCTGCTGCTGATGCTGCTGCTGATGCTGCTGCTGATGCTGATGCTGATGCTGCTGCTGCTGCTGCTGATCATAATGATGATCATACTGCTTTAGCTACTGCTTTAGCTGCTGCTGCTGCTGCAGCAGCAGCAGCAGCAGCAGCAGCTGCTGCTGCTGCTGACATGAGTATTGTCTCTCTCTTTCTCTCTTTCTCTGTGTGTGTTTATGGTGTTGTGTTTTGGTGGGGTTGTTGTTATGTGTTTTAGGTTTAATACGGCCGCATAGAAAGGGGGTGGGGGCCCCCAAGGCGGACCGGCAGCACCAGGAGTGGCAGCGTTTGTTTGCTGCTGCTGCTCCTGCTGCTGTTCCTCTCTCAGATCCTTCTTGCTGCTGCAAGCTAGCAGCAGCAGCAGCAGCACATAACAGTCCAGCTCGTGCTGCAGCAAGAGCAGCAGCAGCAGCAGCAACAAACCAGCAGCAGCAGCAGCAGCAGCAGCAGCAAACACCACTCTCTCCCTTTCTCTCTTCTGCTGTCTCCGCCTTCATCACACCCCCAACTGAACACGAGAGAGCAGCACTCATAGCTCACGCCAGGGTTAGTCCCCAGCAGCAGCAGCAGCAGCAGCAGCAGCAGCAGCAGCAGCAGCAGCAGCAACAGCAGCAGCAGCAGCAG